GCTTTGCTTTTAATAAAAAAAGAAAAAAGAAATTATCATGTAATATATCATGAGAAATTTATTGTTCATTACGGATTTAGTAGAAATGTGTAGCATAAATCATTAGTAATTTTATAATATTGTAAATTTTTATATTTCATTTGGCTTCTAAAACTTTATTATTTTTCACGAATAAATCATCCAAAGACCGTTAATCGGACATGCATTCAACTTAAATTCAAAAACAATAAATTAATAGAATAGAAATAAATAGAAACTACAACAAACAATAATACTTTGTGATAAACTCAATAAAATTATAATTTTCACTAGAACCCTTAAAGTGTAAACTAATTTGTAATAATAATTGAATTTATGCTGAAAATATCTTAAACAAAGAAATAGTATTTATACCATCTGCCGTAGTAATTAACAGAACATCTAACGTCTGTTTCTTGGAAATTAACGCTCCATAATTCAGCCGCGGATGCCATTGCATATCAGTCGGATAAAAATCATCGGGAAATTGCGTGATGATACTGGAATGCGCTAATCCACCTTCCAAATGCCATGATATTAATAAATGATCTTCTCTGTAGAACAATAGAATTCGTTACTTTGTAAACACAAGCTTTTACGAATGGCAATACATACCCGCAGGAAAAAATTTCATCCGCTGAGCCCCATGCTACACAAGTCACCAAACGTTTATGGCCATTACGATTTTGTACAGATATTTTAAACCTCATTTTACACTAACACGTGAACTTATGCCTTTAAATAAAATTCTAAATTCAACGTCACAGAACGTGAACATTCTATGTACAAATTCGATCGCGTGCTCCAAAGAACCTTGAACTGGCATATTTGTTGGTGCACAGTTACTATGGTGATAGGGTAGAACATGTCTATTCATATTATCTCACGCAAACTCTTATAAAATCTTCGCGTAAAGTAATTTTTATAAGTAAGGGATAGTAATTAAAAGGCAAAAACCTATTTAATAGGAAAATATTGAACATAGAAGAGGAACAATGATTTTATGAACAAAAGGATCAAGGATATCCTTGGATATATTGAATTAGAACATCGACGAACTATGTTAATTCGTGCAAGGCGTAATAAACACTAGAACTAACAAGCAGTCAAATTGACTTTTTGAAAGTTGTCTATAAAAACTGCAAGTGTGTCATCTATTGAGATTCCAATTGATTCACAATTTAGTTTGTGCATTGCTAAATCAATTTCTTTAGTAATTTCTCAGAAAAGCATCTATTACATTCTCGATAATTACAAGAAAAAAAATCACGAATGGCTCATTTTGACTCGTCTGGTAGTTTTAGTGTTAAGTTATAACTGTAATTCCTCAATTTCACCAAATTGAATAATGCTAAATATAATAATTTCATACACTTATAATTATCACTATGGCACGTGTGAGATGAAAAAGACCGAAAAACCCATATATGCGCAAATACACAGCGATGACTTTCGCCGGATGCATATATGTACCCATAGCGCTCAAAGAATTAAATGGAGCGAATGATTTATTTACAGAAACTCGAGTGAAACCCAATTTTACACACGTTTATTAAAGCTTCCTCGATACAATTCATTAATCCTCATTAGCACAACCTCGTACTCTCTTCTTCCCACAGTAGAAATAAATCCATGAAGCTGGCGAACCTTAGTCGGGGTACCGGGACCATCGGGCCTCACAACCTTGTTTTCCCTCCTACACTTTACAAACGACCATGTCTCAGAAGTGTTACAAACATTTCTCAACGCGATGCAATGCCGGCATTGGAAGATATCGCTTACATTGAATGCAATGTAATAATTATATATAAAATAGAACATTTTGGAGATAACGCTCAGATCTGTACAACCGAGAAATTATACATTCATCGTGTATACATACTATGTATATGTATATATATATATATTGTGTGTGTGTGTGTGTGCGCGCGCGCGCGCGTGTATATATGTCTTTCTATTTATGTAAATCTATTATAAATGTACATACACGTTAGTTTTTCTCCTTCTTCCTTCTTTTTTTCTTTTTCGTTTGTATTCTTAGTACATGATGTTTACAGACTTTCGCGCAAACCTCACGGATGAATAGTTAGGATAGTTAGTCACGTGAAGATAAACGAACATGTAACCGTGAACCACGATGATCGCATAAAAACTATGCTAGAGATAGATAGATAAACAGACAAAAATAGAGAAAGAGAGAGAGGG